GGACGCAGTGACCCTTTAATACCCTTCCTCATGTTGTGCTGACCCCCAATCATAGAATTATTTTGTTGCTACTTCATAACTGTAATTTTGCTACTGTTATGAACAGTAATGTAAACATATGATTGGCAGGATGTCTGATATGTGATCCCCAAAGGGGTCACGACCCACGGGCTGAGAACCAGTGTCATAGCGTATCAGTAACACACCCACGTCATCACAAGGAAAGTTCGGGCTGCTTTCTGTTTTCTGCATTGATTTTTAGTAGTTGTTGTTACACCAAGCCCCAGATGATCAGAGGCAATGGCTAATTCATCTCTGCCTTCATTCTATATATTTGTTCTGTTACCTATGAAGATGGTGACCTAGGCCTATGGCTCCATCTTTGTGATCCTCGGTCTATCCATCAATGAAAATGAGACGAGATGGTCAAACCACTCTGGGGTTGTTGAGAGGACTGAATAACAGACTCTTCTCAGAGCGTTGCACCTGGTGTCTGGTGTGCACTTAGTGCAGGGTCCTTGCCGCTGCTGCCATTATCTCATTATCAGCCCCTCTTCAGTCATTACACTGCCTATGGCAGGTTCCGAGGAGCTGGTACATGAGCGGATGGGAAGAGGGGGGAGAGAAGGGCAAAGTGGAGGCGTGGAGGTCCATGTGATGAAACATTACTTTGAAATTCATTTTTCCGTTTGTTAATTTGGGGGGCTCTTTTGAAACCACATTTTGATAGCCCAGGCTAGGCTAGAACACCTGATCCTCCTACCTCCACCTCCCCAGTGCTGGGTGTTCAGGCTTGTGCCACCGTGCACAATTCCAAACTTGACTGTTAGGGCACCGATTCTGGGCCATTCAGTATCCGTGAACTGATACTCCCTTATGTAGTGTTAAGGTTGAGTGTGTCCAAGTCTTGGGAAATAGCTATTAAAGATATTAAAGATATTTTTTAAAATTATGTGTATATGTGTGGGGGGGTGATTTGGGATCTATGCTCACAAGTACAGGAGCACTCAGACTCCAGAAGAAAGTGATGGATTTTCAGAAGCTGGAGTTATAGGCAGTTGTTAGCTGCCTGACATGGGTGCTGGGAACCGAACTCAGGTCCTCTGCAAGAGCACTGGGTGTTTTTAGCCACTGTACTATCTCTTCAGCCCCAGAAACAACTTTTTGAAAGTAATGGTACTTACCATACTTGTCTGAGACAAAGAAAACAAGGGGACCCTTCTAGGAACCTATGGAGATATTTCTACATTGAAGTGTCCGCTCTCCCTGATCAGTTCATGGACCCTGTGATCCCATCAACTAGGGACTGCTTGGAGAAGAGGGAGACTGACACCCTGAGTCTAGGGCAGGGAACCTGGTCTTTGGCCCTTAAAGAGACCACCTAGCTCGGCAGCTTTGCAGCAAATCCATGGCTATGTTACTATTGGGAGCCTTTTGCTTATGTAAGACTTGCAGAATGCATTCCGGTGTCTGTGTTTTTGAGCTGCGTTTCCTAGCCTGACTCAGGGATCCCACTTGCTTTTCTTCCTCTCTTACCATTCTTTCCAGCTCCACTGTCATGTCAGGATTCTGCGTTTACATAATTGACACATTGAGACGCTGTGCTTAAACTACAGTGAAATCACATTTTAATAACACGGGAAACATCTTTTCCCTCAGTAAATTGTTGAGAAGTTAATTCTTGTTAGCCTAAGAACTTGAATATATACTTGAAATAAATCAGCCGACTACGCCGTGCTGCCTGCTGAAAGTCCTGGAGGAAGATTCCCCTTGCTGATAAACCGCTCTTCCAGAGCTCTGTTTGGAATACTGCGCATGCTTTCTTGTCTTCATTTGGAAGCACTGACTCAGAACCTTGTCTCTCAGACCATCAGTGGGCCCTCTCAATTACCAGCCCAGTTCTTCATTCCTCCTCTTGGCCTGGCACTGCAGTGCAGCCACCAACTAACTCGTGATAGTAAGATAAAGGTACTGGGCAGGTCAGCTAGGGCTCCATAGTGAGACTCTGTCTCAGAATAAACAAACAAGCATACTAAAGTTGGCTTGACCCAAACACTGATAACCAGAAACAGACAGGAAAGGGGATCTGGTTGTCCCCGAAGTGTGTAACAGATAGGTTGACAAATTGCAGCTCCTGGAAGTCACACTGGGCAGAATGTCTCTAACCTGAACGAACAGCAGTGTCAGGATTGCATGCAGGAGCTCTCAGATCTCCAGAAATGAATGCAGCCATTTTCCCACTTGGCTGTTAGCAGAACCAGCTCGGAACCCCTAACAAACTCTGATACATACCTGCTACCACCAGCTGTTCTGCACTATGGCCCTTGGGTGTAGATAGATGGATAGATAGTTGGATTGAAAGAAGATGCCTTTGGTAGCTTCAATTGTCAACTTGACACAACCCAGAGTCATCTGAGAAAAGGGTCTCAGCTGAGGGATTTCCCAAGTTAGATTGGCTGGTGTGCTCATCTGTGAGGCATTAGCGCGACTGCTAATTGATGTAGGGAGCAGCCCGTGGTGGAAAGCACCATTTCACGAGCAGGCAGTCCTGGACTACATCCGAATGTCAGCTAAGCACTGGCCTGGTGCTTTCTGCTGGAAGAGGTTCTGGAAGCTCAGAGTGAGGACGCCTAGGATGCCTAGCCTGGCTGGCCCCACATGACAGGGCTCAGATGCTGTACTAGTTACCTTGCTTGGCATTGTGACCAAAGGAATCAAGGGTCCATTTTGGCTCACAGTCACGTCACAGAATGCTTGTTATGGTATCATCCTATGTAGTAGTTGGGGGCTTTGGGCTGTAGCATCTCACATTGCAATAGATTAGGAAGCAGGGATTTTGAGCCAGAATCAGACATGACTATAACCTGTAATGCCCACCCACAGTGACCTGAGTCTGCTTGGTAGGATCCTAAAGATACTGCAACCTCTCAGCATAGCCACAGACAAGTGAAACTACTCCCTGATGTGGGACTAGTAAGGGTTCTGAGGACCCTTCTATTGCTGGACAACGGAGATTAGAATGGAGCTGGAGAACACGTGAGTGAGTGAGCGGGCCCTGAACAAGGGGTTCACGAGCTGCTGTCTGCTGTCTGTCACTTAATTCCTAGCTCATTCTTAGTCTTAGTTGGCGATTCCTGGCTCTTCCTTGGGCCTTCTCAGTAATGGAAGCACAGTTCCAGCTTGTGATTATATGCATTTCTTTCCTGGAACGTCTTCAGACTTAACTCTGCTCTTCAGAGTTATAGGAAGGCAGGACTCCTATATTTGTTCTTGATAGAATACCTCCCTGTTAGAGGGATGACTTCAACTTGATCTTGGACAAGATGTACACATGATATTTGAAGACCGTACTGCAAAACAGATTCTAGCCTCAGCTACACCAGTCCTATTGGACACAAGAGCATTGAATTAAAGACATTTCTCTCTCTATCTTTCCTTTCCTTTGGGGGTGGGTTTCCAATTCAGGAGCTTCATGCCAATTCATGTCTGTTTTATTTACTGTTCTTTTTCTGTTGTTCTTACCCAAAGGAGGCTGGGTTTGTTATACAGTACCTACAAAGGTGAGCAGACAGTATAACCTCCATTCTGCCTCTTACTACCTGTGTTCCTTCCTCCTTTTTTTGTATAAAAAATACTTATTTATTTGAAAATGCCATATATGTATAAAATTTGATTTTGTTCCTTCCTTCCAACAGTCATTTTTCTTTCTTTTTTTTTTTTTAATATCACATTGACCTGGCTGAACATTTTCTTTTTGAGACCAGTTTTTGTGTAGCCCAGGCTGGCCACAAAGGATGACCTAGGCCTCATCATCTTCCTGCCTCTATCTCACAAGGTAGACCAGATGTCTTCTTGTGCTTTCAGAGATGTGTTGTGGTATTCTGTCCTCTGATGATGATGTGACTTTTGCCCATTTGAATTCTCAGAAGCTGCTGGTCCCACTAATGTTTGGCCTCATGAAAGTCTGTCCCAACCCCCAGGATCTATAAGTGACTCATGGGTACTGGATGGGGGAACAGCCGAAGAACCACCTGTAACATGTTTATGTGTAGTATGTTTTGTTCCTTAAGTAACCCCCACCCATATTTCTGTTAGTAACTTCAGTTAATCTTGTTGGTTCACCCAGGTAGACTTGAGTAAAATCCTTTCATTGTTCTATTATTGATGTCCTTTCTGGGGTGAAAGAACACATTTGTTCAAGAATCCCCAGAAAAAGTCATCCCAATAAGCCTGCTTGCTGAATCCCACTTAATTATTTTGTAAAGTGTTTTTCTTCACTAATCTCTGGACACAAGAAATAGTTCTAGCCTGTCTGTGCTGGCTCCCTTTGGTACTGGGGCTGGTTCAGCCACTTGGAAGCTGGTGACAAGGGAGCCACCTACAATCTAATCTTCGACTGCATGGGCACATGCTGTTCACAAGCATGGCTGTATTTCGTTATTAGCTACTCTCAGGGCCCACAGAGTCCCAGAGGATGTCAGAGTACATTAATTTTTATCATAACTTGGATTCTCCCAGGTCTGAATGGCAGCACATAGCTGTCAAGGGCTTTCTGAACTCTATTACAGCTTCATATATCTCTAGGCAAAACAGGGGAGAGAGTCGTCATTGGCAAGAGAAATGTACAAAATGCATGAGCTGCTGGGTCGTTGGACTTGACCATTTGCTCAAGCACACGGCACACACTGGTTTCCCCCTATTGTCCATATAAGTTCACCTCTGTCTGCCCTTGTGAAATCCTCCACTTTGCCTACATGAGAGCTACCCAGAGTGTGTATAAAATAAGTTCTCTATGAATCATGCATCTTTTCGTCGACCACTATTTTCCAACTAGTCTATGAATATGAATATGAGTTTTCCTGTCTTAATGAATTTCCACCAGAACTTAGACAGCCATGGTGTCACCAGGAGTTTATAAATAATGGATTGTTATGCTTAATATCACTTTATGCCCACAAAATGTACTTTTAATGGGGAATGCTAACGCATGCCAGGGAAGTTTTGTTATTTGTTCGTTACTTTTATTCTACCTACTTGTCAATAAAGTAAAATGTTTAAAGGTTGCAGTTTGCCTGGAGAGGAGGTGACTCTCTTATTATTTTAGAGACTTTCGAGGCCATAGAGGGTATACGGAAAGTGGGGCTCATGGGGAGCCACCCCGCCTTGCTGAAGAATGCAGCCCAGCATGCTTTAGCTGCTGGCTTCCTCCTTGTTACTAATACTTCTGTGGGTTGAGTTGTAGAGTTTACTGTTCTCCATTGTGGTCTCCCAAGCGATTTTAATATCATAAGTAAAATTCTTCAGGAAGACACAATTCATTTGTCCCTAGAAACCCACGGGGTTCCACCAAGACTTGATAACAGTGCCTTTTTCTCGGTTTAAGGGAGTTGTGTTCAAATGTGCATGCAAGATGATGGGAGTGGTCCAGGCTGATGTTCCTTGCCCTTCCCTCCCTACTTATCCACATTGGGCTGAACATTGATTTTCCATTTTATCAAATACTCCCTAGAAGCAGGAACACGGGACAGTAATGTGCTTAAGTGCAGAGGACAGGTTTGGAAATTGCTAAAATCTGCACCAGAGAGTCAGGCCCCTTGCACTGCAGATATCATGCCAATCCGGCTAAGTGCACAATTATCAAATCGATGCCTTTCCCCCTAGAAACCCGTGTTGGGGAAGACGTGGGTGTTACTTTGTTTTACACCCCTGCCTTAGGATCAATGAGGTTGAGATTTCACTGCCGGGACTCGGATGCTGGGATGGGAAAATATAATCAAGATAATGGACACAAGGCAAAAATTTAAGAAAATAACCAAAACAAGAGTGTTTTCATTTTCTGCTAAGTGTCTGTACTCGTGTTCCGGAATCTGCTCTAAGAAGTTGCAAATGGTGCATGAAATGAAAAATTCTCGTCGGTCTCCGGGGGACAGAGCCAGAGCTTTGCTTTCTTCCTCATGGTTGTTCTGATTGCTTTCTCTATTCCAGCTGAAATAAAAAGAAAATATTAATTAAGCATAACTAAGGTATTGTGACAGCAGCAGAACCCACTCCTGGTTAATTATTGTGTTAACACCCAGGGGTGTCCATCAGATTCACGGCACCTTTAGTGCCATGACCCGCCCACGGCACAGCTGACAATCATTGGCCACCCAAGCTGGGTTTGGTGTTAAGGGTGACTGCTCGTTTTCCAGGCTTTCTTTTCTTCTTAATTTAGAGAGGAGGTGCTCTTACAGGAACTCTGAGTGAGGGCACTGGGAACAATCTAGTAAATGTGGAGCACACTATATATGTATTGTGTGTGTCTGCATTCTTGGTGGGTACCACTCCCCAAAGTGGATGCCCAGGTCTAAGAAACAGGAAACCAGGTAAAATATCAATAGCTTATTTTAGGCGTTTTCTCCATCAAGATCAGTGGCAGAAATATGGTATATAGTTTTCTATATACAATAAAAAGATTTATTTTTAATTATGTGTATGTGTCTAGGGGCAGTAGATACACATATGTACAGCACCCCAGGAGTCCAAAAGCGGCTATTGGATTCCAAGGAGCTTGGAGTTTGATAGGCAGTTGTGAGCTGGCTGATTGTGGGTGCTGGGAACTGAACTAAGGTCCTCTGGAAGAGCAGTCGGCACTCTTAACCACTGAGCCTTCTTTCCAGAACCTGTATATAGTTTTTTAATTCTCATAAATACTAGACAAACTGAGCATGGCCATTCTCTTTTAAAGGAGATACAGCGATAACTCAGAAGTTTATTAATTTTTCTAAGATCCACTTGACTGATGAGGGGTTGACCCCGGCAGGAAAACAAGGTTTTTGTGTCACATAGTTTATCCTTTCCTAGAATTGCATAAATCAAAAGTATTCTCTCTTGACAATATTCTCTCTCTCTCTCTCCCTCTCCTTCTCTCTCTCTCTCTCTCTCTCTCTCACACACACACACACACACACACACGCACACACACACAGGCACACACACAGACACACACACACGCACACACTTTTAAAGTAGAGCCCATGTTTCCCCTTCATCCCTCAATAAAATGATAAGCATTTCCTATAGAAGACTTATATAAAAGATAGTCACTGCTTGTTTGATCTTTCTAAATAATGTCCTTAATCGTAAGTCTGCTATGATGCAACTCCCCTCAAATTAAGTTCATTGAATGTCATATCTGGATTTCCACAGAATCAATGCTTCACCATCCTATTATGTAAGACTTACTTTACCAAGACTTGAAAGATATCTTCTGCAAGGCCATCCATTAAATTGAGATTTTCAACAAGTCAGTTACGTATTTATCCAATTCATTATACAGTATTTGTTTTAATTTCTCATGTATTCCCCCAAACCCTCATGAACTATAGCTATGCATGCACTCCACATAGCTGTGTTCCGGGTGGGTTCCAGAAGCACGGAGCCATGCAGCTGGGCAGAAGTAGCTGGGGAAGAAAATAACCACTATGGTCAAGTTCGTGCTGCCTCTCCTGAATTCAGACCAAACTAGCCCATGTTAATTTAAGCAAGGACCCACCTTGTAATGCTATACAGTTCCCACCCCTTCCTTCTCTGGGAGAACACACTGCTGGTTATGAGGTAAGTTTGCCAAATGGTTTTCTTAATGGAACACGGCTCCGTATGCCCTTTGCATCGAATTTCACAGTACTTCCAAATAGTATGAATTTTTGCAACTCACTTGAGCAGTACCCCAGATGGTATGACATTCTGTTTCTAGAAGGAAATGGAATATATTTCCTTCTGCATTGCATTCCATTTAGCTCATTCCTTCGCCTGGTCTGAAATGGGATCCTGCAAAGTCACAAATGTTGGACCATCACAAGGGTCCCAACTTAACCTGGAAAATCCCAGTTCGTTTATGGAGCATGCTAACAATTTCGTTTTCACACCGTTACTGTGACTCCCCTTGGTGGTGGTGACTTCTATTGCTCTGAGACTCCTTTAAGGCCTCATTCTCCTTTCTCATGGTTGACATTCTGGGCCATCTTGGGCTCCTACAGTCATGATATAGTAATCTTGTCTCCAAATTATAATGCCTGTCTATTGGTCATACTGCCCGATGCATGCATTCGGATATGCACAAAAGGCTTACCTTTTTTAAAAGCTCATTTTTTTTTACTATGGAGTGTGTGTGTGTCTGTCTGTCTGTTTGTCTGTCTGTCTGTGTTGTGTGTCTGTGGTTATGTGCTCAGGAGTGCAGGTGCCTGTGGAGGCCAGAAGAGGCTATCTGGGGTCCCCTATAGCTGGAGTTATAAGGAATGATGAGCCCCCCAACGTAGGTGCTGAAAATGGGTCCCTGATCGATCCCCTGTAAGAGCAGTGAGATCTCCTAACTGGTAAGCCATCTCTTCAACTCTAAGGCTTAGCTCTCACTCCTTGCCATGCCCTGTGAGAACTGACTTCCTTCCTTCTGAACCTTGCTGTCTAGTGGCACAGAAAGACTGTGGTACATGGTAGAAAGTGTGAAGAAGTGTAGGAAGAGACCACTGGGACATACTACACCTGAGAAATTGACCTTTAATTTGCAATTAATATGAGGGTGTTCTGGAGTTTGCTTGTTCCTAGGTACTGATATGGGGACTCCCTGGACACTCGCAGGGCATAGTTAAGAAGGCAGTATATATTGAGGATATAGACTGATGGGATTGGCTTTACAAAGAACTGTCATCACTGGCAGCTTGACCCTCAGTGAGGACTTGAAAGTCAGGGGAGCTTTTAGCACCCAGGTGTCCAGTTCTATGCTTCTTTTCATTGGCAGTCAGACCAACAACCTTGTGCTCTTCGTCCTCTGTCTGCCTGTCAGTCCCAGCAGGGCTGATGTTGCCAAAGGTCTACACAGAGTCTGTGAGAACCTCTGAGGAGGGGCCTACTCAACTTCAAGGTGAGGGCAAAGGGCAAAGGAATGATTGAGGTGCGAGAGTCTTTAGAGTCACCCGAGGAAGAAGGGGAGGGTGGTGACACACGACATGGGCAGAGGTGGAAGATTCCACACAGTGTTGAGACAGCATCCTGTTGGCTTGGCAGTGGAGGTGTGTTTGAAGTAGGGGAAGAAAATGGACACATATTTCAAAACTAAACAGGATGAGTGGACAGTGGGTGGATTGTGAGCTCAAAACTGCTCTAACAAGTGACTTTCTTTCTCTTTCCAGCCTTCTTGTCTCTCTGTGTCTTTTTCTCGTCCGTCTGTTCCTCTCTCCGCTTTTTTTCTCCACTCCTTTCCCTTCTTTAGTGGTTTTCCTCCTACTTAATGGTCAAAATGATTGCGTGTGAGAGAGAGGAAGAGAGAGAGAGTAGAGGTTGGAGAACAGCCTCAGGTGTTGTTCCTAAGACTCCATTAAGTTTGTAAACTATCATTTACTCATTCTTTGGCATTTTCATCCGTGTGTACAATGGAGCTTGATCATATCTACCCCAGTTCTCCTCTCCTACTTTCTCGGGTCACCCTGGAGCATGTGCCGCTCTCAACTTCACGTCCTCCGGCTCATAACCCACTGCATCCGTTTAGTGCTGTCTGTTTAGTGTTGGCTGACCTTGTGGGCTTGTTCTTGTACAGGTCCTGTGCAGGTGACCGTAGCTTCAGTGAGCTCCTGAGTACCATGGGCTTGCCTCAACCAAGAGATAGCACCACATCCCTTTTGAGGGGTGAACCTGGAAGTCACCAAGTAGGCCCAGCTGGCTGGCTAGCAAGCCCTGAGGATACCCCTGTCTCTGTCTGGCCCAGAGCTGGAGATTATAAGCTCACATGACCCTGATACATGGGTTCCAAGAATAACACTCAGGTCACCAAGTCTGCGGCAGCAATCACTCTCCCAGCTGAGCTGGCATCCCCAGCCCTGTATCCAGGATTTGGTGAAGCTAATGGATAGGAGGTATGACCCTATAGAGAGAATGCCTGAAATTGGGGTAGGCAGCAGGTGGGGCTCTTGGGAGCCAGGGCAGGGAGCCAAAGAAAGCTCAGAAAGCTCAACTGTTCCTGATCAGGTTAGCCACAGTCTCTGGACAGGCCCCACCCTTTTACTTCCGGCCTCGGCTCTGCTCTCCTTTTAGGAGAAAGCACAAGTTAGACATGGCTAGCCAGAGCCTGGCTGCATGATCAAGAAGTCTCACGACTGTCAACTCAGAAGGGTACCAGCAGAGCTGGCCGCTGGTTCATCATTAGGACTCCATCCCTGGGGTGGCCCAAAGGCAACACACGGATGGCCAGGTGGAAGGGGTGCTGCTTTCTGACACTATGCTCATAGCAGCTGGAAGACTGACCAGGTCCATTCCTCAGAGACGGACGGGGCAGTTTCTCCCCAGGTCTCAGAGAGTGGGACTCCTCCTGGTCGAATTCTCCCATGCTGGACCTGGATGATGGTCCTTTCCGCCTCCATTGCCCTTCCCAGGTCAGAACCCACCTGAGGACCAAATCCTTCCCTCAAGGCGCTGACTAATAACATCTGCTCTGGGCGCCATTGACGCGTCTTTATTTCCATCCCGTCTTCACAGTTTGATCCAGACTTCTCTTTGATGGCCTGTAAATATTCATCATCTGAGATTCTTTTGAATTGCAGTGGCTTTTAGTTAAAATTGAGTAAAATGTACCATTTGAATAATAAAAACCTCATTAAAGGAAAGCTAAAAGAATACTTTTCCTTTTGTACAAGCCAATTAGGTACCCTCATAATTAAAAAAAAATAAGTCAAGCACATTATGGTTTCATATTCCATAAGCCTGTTTCTAATTAATGGAGGTGACACGGCTTAGGTGCTAGGTACACATTTTGCCTCCGGTGTTGTGCAGTCGACATTAATGAAGGCGATGGGAATGTGGTAGGGGAGCAGCTCCTCTGTGAGTCCAGGTCGAGGCCTTTAGTGGGTCTCCATTCTCAGGGACACCGGACGGCAAGAATAAAGGTACCCAGAGAGAACCTGTGGTCGCTGAGAAGGTGTCATATTAAAATTCTCAATGGCTACACTTAGTGGCTCAACTGTCCCAAAGACAAGTATTCACAGACCTGGATTTTTCTTTTGTGGAGAAAAGGGAGTGGTGTGGAGGTAAAGGGGGCCACCATTTAACCCCCTCAGCTGACAAGATACAAGGCCAGATGCTCATCATCGTCTTCCAAGTTGTATTCTGCTGTTCCCAGTTTATAGGGGAGGAAACGGCACACACAGGCTCACTGTCTGGCCAGGAACCTGCTAAGAAAGTAACCGCCCTGGGCTCAGATGGCATCCAGTTTGGATATTGGATTGGTTACTTGTGGCTGTGACAGAAGATCTTACAGAAACAACTGGGAGAATGCAGGATTCATGCAGAGTCGCTGTTTCAGAGGATCTCTGCCCATAAGGGCAGAGAGGGCATTTTGGGGAGGGGACAGTTCAGTCCATGTGGCTTAAAGCTGTTTCCCCTGTGGCAGCAGGCAGGAAAGAATCGAATCGGGCCAGAAACAGGGCCAGGCTGTGTAACTCTTAAAGGCGCCCTCCCAGAACTCATTTATGACAGCTAGGCTCTGGGTGCACCAGCCCTGCTCCACCCACTCCACCCACTCCACCGCCTCCCACTGAAGCTCCAGCATCTGGGCCTAAGTTCATCTGTGGGTGGCGTCTCATGGTCCACCAGAACTGTTCTTTATCTTGCTCTTCCTCGGTTATTTGTTTACTCACTTATTTTTGTCAATCCAAATATTTGGATTCTAACCTCAGGAAAGTTGCCTCTAATTACATTACTAATTCTATAATAATGTAATCCAAAAGCCTCCTGTTGTCCTCTCTGGACAATGGCAACAAGAATACATATCACCCAAGGTTGGCGTGACAGTTAAATGAGCTATGTATCCAGAATTCTCAGCAAATGTCTACTCCACAGTTAACACCACCCTCACACAAAAAGGGGTGGGGGGAACAACTTTGAGAAGTGACCAAAACACTAGAGTTGTAACCAAAAAGGAGCTCCACATCAGACACTTGTGTGCCTCCCTCCTCGGCGCACACTACATTTTCTAAAGTTTCTGTCTTGCTGCAAAGCCTCCCCGGTACAGATCTCTGCTTTAGTGTGAAGCAGGGCTGGTGCATGCAGTGAGGAGCTGACACCTCAAAGCACTCAGGTCCAGTCTTCAGAGAGTAATGACATCACGTGTAGCCGTTGATTGGCAGCTGCAGTGCACACCATATACGAAACAGGAGTTATCCTGGACAAACACAACCACTTCACCGAGCTTATTTTTAAGTTGCAATACATTGGGAAGTAGATCAAGCACCAGAAATGAATGTCATGCTCTCTTAACAAGATCCAGGTTGCCCCGTGATAATGAGATTTCATGAATCCTTAAAGGTGTGATTTGTCAATATGCTTCCTCCTAGCTATGCTGTGCCTGCTTTCCACCAAGCATTTAAACAAACTTTACTATCAGTTCTTTATAGACTTGTCAAAAACCTAGAAAAGGAGGGAGTGCTTCTAAATTTGCTGTTTGCTAGATGTCAAAAACAAAATCCTGGGAAGGAAAGAACATGACAAGCCAGTGTCACACAGGAATAGACACAGAGACTTGAACAAAATGCCAGCAAACCAAATGCAATCATGTACAGAAAAAAGGATTGTATACTTATGATATGTAAGGAATTCAAAGTTAAGTATTCAAAAATAAATCAATGAAAGAATTACAGGTAAGAAGAATAAGATCATCTGGATGGATATAGAAAAATTATTTGCAAATAGTTAAGTATTCTTTCTTGATTAAAAAAGTACTCAGAGTTGGAATCAAAGAAGTCATTTTTTTCACCTTATTAATTTATACAGAAAGACCACAGCTGATATAACGTGAATGCTTTCTCCCTGACACCCAGAAATAGGCAATGGTGTTTTCAGCCAGAATCCATTCAAATTAGAAAGGAAAAATTTAAATTTCCTCCCTTGTAGATGAAATCACTTTGCATGTATAACATCTTAAGAAATCAAATTGAGAAGTATTAAAACTCGCAGCCAAGTTCAGCTGGATTGCAGGGTGACCACTTAGTATGTAGAAATGAGTTGGTTTCTCTGTGGGAGCAACGACACCTCCAAAAGGAACTGAAGAAAATCATTTTGAACTGAAGAAAATCATTTTGCTTGCAGGCGGCAACATCAGAAATAAGAAAATCAGAAGCAGTTTTGAAACTTATAAAAGAATTTAACAAAAATGTGGAAAGCTTAGACTTCTGAATGTATAAAGCATTGTTGGAAGAAATTAAAGAACACTCAAATGAATAAAGGTAGCCCATGTTCATGGATTGGAAGGTGTGATTCTTTGTCCGTTAGGTTCATCTACAGGGTGGATTCAGTTTCCTTTAAAGCTGGAATTTTGGTCTTGAACTTCATATGAGAATGAAAAAGACACTGAGTAGACAAACCAAGAGTGGAAATCAAGTGGGAAGCCTTCCACTTCCCAGTAATTAAAAACACACTTTGTCATGACCACAGACATTCAAGAACTGAATGGAATTAAGGTTCCAGAATTAAACCCTCACATGATTGATTGATTTTTTTTTAAATGCTGGTGCCAGAATAACTCAGTTGGGTAAGTAAGTCTTTTCTATAGATGGTTCTAGTAACACTGGGTACCCACCACAAAAGAATGAAGCCAAATCACTTTCATGTGCCATACACAAAGTTAGCGGAACAGGAATCAGTGACCTAAATATAAAACCCAAACTACTTTATTCCACAAGAACACATAGAATCACAATATCTTTGTGGCATTAGAGTAGACAATGACTTCATATGTCCAACCCCAAAAGCGCAAGGGACAAAAGAGGAATTAAAATCAAAACAAAACGAAATGAGAAATCACTAAAATTAAAAGCTTTTGTGTTTCCAATTATACCATCAAGAAAACATAAAGACAACCTATAGCATGGGAAGGATGTTTGAAAACTGTCCACCTTGAAAGGGTTTCATGCATCATCCATAAAGAATTTTCATAATCCAACAGTAAGAAGATAAAACTGCGAGCTCCAAAAAGGAACTGAACTCACTCTTCTCCCAAGAAGATATGCTAACTATCAATGAACACATCAAATGATTATCAGTATCATCAGCCAAGACATGTAAACCACAAAGAAGTGGTTGCTCGTGTTTGCTAGGGTGACACAGGGCTCACCGTGGACAGAGAGATTATAAGAGCCGGAGAATGAGGAAGCTTCTAGAAACTAGATCCATGAAGTCTCACCAGCATGGGCTCAACAAGGAAAAGAGCAATAGAGATGCTAATGTGGCTGAGGGAAAGGCTGTGAGTCCTCAGCCCTACACACAGAACTACAAGCAACTCGGAAATGCTGAGATTGACAGAGACTGTCTTCCCCAGGGAAGAGCACACCAATTGGTTATCAAATGCCAAAGGGCCAACCCTGAATAAATACACCTACAAGTAACATTATACAGACTCAGACTGTACAGGTTGTGTTTGTGTATTTAGGATGTGTGTGTGTGTGTGTGTGTGTGTACACGTGTCTATGTATGTTTGTAACAATCCATGAATTCAAAAAGGAGCAAGGAAGGGTGTGATAGGGTTTGGAGAGAGGAAAGGGAAGGGGGAATTGTTATGGTTTTATTATAATATCAAAAATAAAAGAAATAATTTCAAAAAGAAAGAAGAGATGGGCGGTGAAAGTGTTGTATGGATGTAGATGTGTGTAGCGCACAGCTAGTGAGGGTGTGAGGGTCCCACTTTGGACCGCAGTTCAGTTTGATTCGCCCTCAAAAGTTAAACACAGCATTATTCTGAGCCAGCAATTCCATTTGCAAGTGCGTACTTGAGAGAAATAAACTGACACATCTCCAGAAGAACCGTCAAAGCAACGTCCACAGCAGCTCTATTCACATTAGCCCAACACTGCAAGCAACCCATCTGCCCATCAAAGGATTAACGGGCAAGCTTGTTGCTGTCTGTGCACACAGGAGAGTACATCTCGGGCTCAGGAGGGAGGGCAGTGCCCGTTCTTGGTACAGTGCGACACCCTGAACATCATGCCAGGTCAAAGAAGACAGTCATAAAAGACCTGCTATCATCCTATTTACATGAGATGATGGTGTTTGACAAATCTATAGAGTAGAAAGTATATTCGTTGTGTATGGGGGTCGGTACCATGCAACTCATGACAGCTGATGGGTTCCTTTTTATACTTAAAATTGCTGTTAGAATCGGAGATGGTTACTTATCTCAGAATTACACTAGATGTGAATTATAATCTCAGGATTAAAAAAAGTGGAAAAATAACAAATGCCTGATAGGGAAAAAAAGAATCTGACACACCCCCCCCCCCCCCCCGTCCATACTCAGCACTAATGTTTTTCTGTATTTTCTTTCTTAGTGACTGCATAGGGAGACATTCCATTTGTTTTGCTTTTAGTTTTGTTTTGATTTTATGTTATCACATATTAATTTGTTCGTGTGTGTTCCCTCAGATGTGTGTGTACGTATGTGGGTGAGTGGGTGTGTGCCAAGACTGGTGGGGGAGACAGGAACAACTTGAACTTGCAGGAGTCTGTTGTGTC